TTGAATTCATAATTTTGGAAGCAAATAATTTGCATGTATGAATTTCATGTGGAAGAAATAAAGGGAACGTGAAGGAACAGTCTCATTATGAATCCACAATTAAATTCATTAGAGACAGATTTTTATGTGGATCTGCACTAAATTTAAATTTCACACACTCATGAATATCAGTCCTCTCACGAGCGCTTCAGACACATTTCACATCCTTCCACCAAGTTCCACTGTGATCGGTCCAGTAGTTCTCCCTCTGCCTCACCCTGTGGAGTCGCTCTCTGAACCTCACGCCACCTGACGGAGGTTAAACCAAGCGGCAGCAGCCAGATTCCCTCTGGTTGGATGAACAGTGACAACACGTTGTTCTTGGGTTGATGCAGAACTGAACACATGCAGCTCCGAGCAGGTTTTACATCAGCGGAGGCGTCGCAAGACTTCGAGGCTGCAGACTGTGAAACTGATGTGTGTGTGGGTCTGTTGCCAAATGGTATTAACAGATAAATACCATCACACGTGTGTGTGTGTGTGTGTGTGTGTGTAGTTACACTTAATAAGTAGTGAATGATTTGGACATGTATTACGTCCTCCATGTTTTTGACCCTTGTCTGTTTGTTGGCACAGTTTTGCAAAAACGACAAAAGAGATTTCCATGAAACTTGAAAAAATTCTTTGTGGAGAATTTTAGGGTCAAAAAAGTTCTGTTAAAATATTAAAAACAAGTTCTTAAAGCTCCAGTGTGTAAGATTCAGGTGAAAGGGAACTATTGGCAGAAATCTAATGTAGAAGAATCCTCATGATGTTTTCACGAGTTCGTTTCATCTAAATTGTATGAAATGTAATTTTCTTTACTCCAGAAAAGACCCTTTATATTTAAATACTTTATATTTAAATACTTTATATTCAAATACTTTATATTTACATGGAGGGGACCCTCTCTATGGAGGCCGCCATGTTTTTAACATTAGTCCAGACTGGACAAACTAAAACCTTTTGAGTTTTAATAACTGAAGCTACCACAGGTTCTTCTTCATGTTTAGAAGGAGAGGGGGAGGGGAGGGCTGTTCAGCTGCAACATGACACTTCAACACTAGATGTCACTAAATTCTACACACTGAACCTTTAAGTATTTAATGCTGCTTTTTTGATGATTTATATTCATTTTCATGTATCTTGTCTGTGGTGACGACTGTGGTTCCTACTGTCTCTGTCTGTAGAGAGAAAATGTTTCCAGGGTTATTTTCTACTAATCTTCAATTATGAGCACGCAGAGTAAATCCTGGGACTCTGATGTCTCTTCATTTGTGTCATTATGGTTTAAAAAAGTCTTGAGTTTAACTTGTTGAAACCTGCAGAAACATTTACATTGATGAAAAAGTCACTGATCAAATTAAAACACTGCAGATTATCTGATTTCATGTTCTAGAGAAATGTGAAAATCATTTCAGTCAGAGATTCTTATGTTAATGAGCGTTTATACGTTATCAGAGGAATAACCTGTGGCCCCCCCACCCCCCCCTCTCTGAACAAAGAAAAGCGCCAGAAAACCTCAGTGACTGTACAATGCTTCCACTGGTGGTCGGAGGTTGTACTGCAACAACACAGTGCTCAATATTGTGCATTTTAGATAACATAAAAATACACAATACAAATACATGAAGTGGGCTGCATATCTATTCATAATGAAACACCTGTCTAAATATCCCTTCTCCCTCTTCTCCGAGCAGTGTACCCGAGGTTGAAATGGTTACCAACAGTTTATTAAAGGATGTTCACTCCTCTCATGTCCTGCTCACATCCTGCCCCCCCGCTGCTCTACACAGGTGACCCTCTTCCCTCAGGTGGAGGTGGCTGCGCTCGGCCTGTAGGGGCTGCACCTCAGCCATCTCAGGTGGCCTGGAAACCCCCGTCTGCCCCTGCAACACACACTGAAGGCAACAGTTTTATTTTTGGAGCGCCCACGGGCACGGTGGCTCGCTCCCTAAGGCTCTAGTTCACTTCAGGATGAGACGGCCCGGTGGCACTCTGAGCCGGGATTAACAAGCAGAGAGCATTTTGTCCCGACAGCCGCTCGCCGAAGGTAAACCAGTCAAACTCGGTGTCTGTTGATTGACAAGCTGGTGGTTCTGCAGCTTGTTCCTGAGCCGTCAGCCAGGTGCTAACCTGCAAATAATGCTAAGAATTTGATAGCGGCACGTGCACGATCTGAAATCTCGACAGCATGATGGATATCAGACATTAAATCCATTAGAGGAGGGAGAGCTTGCAAAGCAACGCTTACCATGTTGTGTGTTTCTGCACAATGTTGTGCCATGTCAATGAAAGCATGAGCCAGCGATGAACAGAACCTGCACAAGAGCACATTGATTTTACTCGTATCCCTTCTTTTTGGCCTTTTTCTGTTCTAAATTATAAATAAATTGATTCCCTCTATTATTTCTTTCTTGCACCAAACAGTTTTCAGCCTGACCAGCTGAACACAAGCTGTTTCCACTTTGGGTAAGTGTTGATCAGATTCACACTGTAGCTGCATGATGATACATAGAGTTCAGCCTCCTTGTTGTTTAATTGAGTTCCTTAAACGTAGCTAGATAGAGGTCATGGCACAGTTTAATCTCAAAGCTAAAGTTACACTTTCCTCTTTTGAGCTGCTCTAGTGGAAACCTCCCAGACATCAGACCCCAGAGCCTTAAAAGGGGGACGTCTCATGTGTCAGCTGGCCTTCTGGTCCCTGTGGCAGCAGGAGTCACTTTGACAAAAGGGATTCGTGTTAAACTCCAAACCAGACCAACATCTCAAGGTTTTTACTTTTCAACACAAACTGAACTTTCTGTTCTTCTGTTACATTCAAGCCAGAGACCATTAAACTTGCTGAAAACATTCCATTAAGCACTATTATCCTGCGTCTTCTCGACAAAGTGGTGTAAAGGCGACATAGATTAAAAGTCAAGTCACGGCTCCGACACATGAGGCTGGAGCTCACAGTCCTCGCAGCTCTGAGAGGATTTGGGCCTGGGATTGGTTTCCAGCAGACTGAGGCTGTTTGTGTGGCTGCAGGACGACTGGCAGCAGGTGCTCGCTGTCAGGAGGTTTGCTCTTATTTCCCTGCATCTAAAATTAGACAGTGTCCCATAGTGTCACCCAAAGATTCTGCAATATTCAGACAGAAGAACAATTCAGCTCATGTTGCCACAAGTAAAAATAAAATATTATCAACGTACTTAATATTATAATATCATTTTAATCTTGATGTATTCTGATACATCGTGTAAGTTTTGGAACAGTGAGTGGATCAAAGTCAGCTCCGACACATGAATATTCAGAGAAGCTGTTTCCTCACATGACACGTCCAGACTTTGCCTTTGGAAAATAAAGAATTCAGCAGGAAAATGTTTGTGTCACACAAGAGGACAATGGCCAGAGGGTAAAACATAAAGGACGCGTTTCATTTAAATTCTGATATGGAAAGATCAGTGCTTTTGTTTACAGCACATTCACACCAGCGTCTTTCATCGCCAAAGGTTTTTTCTTTGTCATTTTGAGATATTCGTATTCTTCTAGTTTCGTGTCCGTCATACATGAACATTTTCCTGCTGCACTCTGACTCTAATATTTACTCAGGAGCTGCGGGAAAATGTCCGCAGCAACTGAATCGGACATTTGTGTGAAAATTTCAGGAAAATATCACGACCTCGGTGCACGTCTGACGGAAGCTTACGTTAGATTTGCCTTCTGTTCATTCCGTCTCTGACCTCTGACCTTCCTCCTACTGTTTGCTTGTAACTTCACTGAATCGAGAATTGACTCCTGCTCTCGTTTGAAGTTGCTAAACGCTAACACCGTCTCCTCGCTGCGTGACACTCGTCACCCTCCTGTACGAATCATTAATCTTCCTTTGGGTTTACTTTTATTTCATCCTGAGGTCAGGTTTAAATTTGACATTCTCCTTGAGAGACTATTTTCATAAGTAGTTTGTCATCATTTCAAAGTAGCCTTGCCATAAGTAACGGCTTTACATGCCTTTCTATTTCCAATAGTGACGCTTCTTGTAGCCATGCACCATCTTCAGGACCCAATCAAGAGATCTGAAACCTGCTGATGAGTCCGTTGTCATGGGAGCTCATAGTTCTCTAAAGCCAGCCGCAGACGTGTCCGGCTTAAATCAGCACAGTCAGCAGCTGAATAAACTACAGAGGGAACACAGCAGAAGACAAAGAGCTCACATAGACAGTAAATCACAATGGAAGCAATAACACAAAGACTCAGACACCAGGAAACGTTTTTTAAATTGATTTTATTTCATCGTATTTAAAGATGAGAGAGAGAGAGAGAGAGCGAATATTCACAGGAGTAAAAGAAAACATGTCCATAATAAACAGAGAAGAGACTCACTTATAGCTTCAATAGCTTGTAAAATGATAACATGAGTGTCTAAGGAGGTTTGGGATCACAACGGGATTTAAGAGGATTTCCAACTTGAAGCTTGAAACACGGAGAACGTTGAAGTGATAGTCGGTAGACATTTTTTTTTTCTTCCATGAAAAAGTCCAACATGTGTTTCACAAATCCTCATAGAACTCTCCAGCTGTAAATGAAGATACATAACCTAACATTAGCATTTATATTGGTTAAATATACACAATTAATGGCCTTAATATTAAATTATTATTTGACCAACTGCTGAGATGTGATATGTCTGGAGGGAAAAAAATAAAGTTTTTGGCCAGATTGTGTTTTCGAACGTTTGCAGCTGCTCCGAGATCGAAAACGTCACAAAATGCAAACAGCATCATATGGAATTCCTTCTCTGAAGTCTCAACAGTATAGTTTGTGAACCTTACAAGCAAATACCAGAACACTTGATGTGTTACCTCTTCATTTTGTTCATTTGTGACTCCTGAGAAAAACTTTCATAATTAATATAAATAGCAAACAAGGCTGGAGGTGTTGTCAAGGTGTTTTTCTTGAAAATCGATATGATTGGTTCGTCTCTGGTCTCTATGTTCATGCAAGTTCATTTTTGTCTTGATTTTATAAGACGAGTGAACTGAGAGGTCTCTTATCTGTCTTGCAGGAGTCGGAAATGCTGATGGAAGTCAGCTACAGTAACGGGCTGGAGCCTGACCTTTCCCAGCAGTATCCTCCGCCCTTGCTGCCAAAACCAGGCAAAGACAATGCACGGCTTCAGAAACTCAAGAAGAAGAGAACCAAGAAAAAAGGCAGTCTCTCTCAGACGCCCGTCCCCTTTCGCTCCTGTTTGTCGCCGGTCAACGAAGCGAGCACGGACCTCGAGCACAGCGATCAGTCCAGCCCACCGAGGACACCAGAATCAGTCTACATTGCGGACTCATCACTGTCTGGTTTTCCCGTAGGATCCCTTTTCGATCACTCTGCATTTCCTGATCATCAGAGCAGCTTCCAACCTCAGTCTAACACAACTCAGATCAGGGCTTCTGAAGAGCTGGTGGCTCCACTGTACGAGTGCTCTTCTTTATTATTCGATGACGAAACCCCGTTCATGATGCCACCTTCAGCTTCACCACCCTCATCACCACCTGAGCAGCTCCCCGCACTACCTCCTCATTCTGCTTTTAATGTAAACATGACACCGAATTCCCATAGGTCAGTCACAACAGTCTCTTCTGCCACTGTGTTGCAGTCCAACCCTAAAATATCAACTCACAGCCTGACCCTATCCCCAGCTGCCCCCAACTGTGGCCCAGGCCTGACACCGTCTCAAGTTGCAGACCTACCTCCTGTTCCGGTGCTGCTATCACTTTCAAACAACCAGACGCAACCTTTTGTTCCCAGCCAGAGGGAGACAAACGCCACCTTAAAGGACAGCCCTCAAACTCAGACGTCGTCTTGGATTGCCAGATCTACCAGTAATGGCAACGCTGCTCCAAACCAGATGCTCTCTGAGATAACTGCCTCAAAGATATCCCTTGTTGAAGCGGTGAAAGAGTCAAAACCTGATGCCCCACAAACCAGGATTTATACCTCAAGGGCAACATTTTATGAGATCTCTAAACCCCCCTCAATACAGGACCTTACAGTATTAAACCCAACCTACCATGGAGCATCATTATCTGCCACATATAGAGACAAAACAACTGTGCCCGTCTTGAAAACCGATCAGAAAATGTCTGTAACCAGGACCCAAAGTGGAAGACCTAAGACCCCCTCTTGCAGACCTTCTCAAGTATCCACACCCACTTTTGAAATATCCAAACCTAACCCGCTTTTATTTGCTGCAAGTCCTGCTTTCAACTGCTCTCAAGATTTACAAGCTCTTGCTATTGCTAATGAGACTCCACAGCATAAATTAATAATTCAAGCTAGTGTTAAAAGTAGTAAACCTCCTTCTTCTACAGAAGAGCTGAAGCTAACTGATGCTAATCAAATAACTTCCATCAAGCAAAGCAGCAATTACAAAGAGATAGAGAACCAGCCCACTCGAAGGAGTACAATAAATGTAAGTGTTGCCAATACTGAACTGTTTCCCAGAGAGAATTTAGCATCAAGAATCAATGCACCGGAATCTACTGTGGTCAAACCAACATTGATGGAACCTGTCACCCCACAGCTAAAAACAGACCAAGTCGCAGGAAGTGAAGCTTCATCTTTTCCAAAGGTTCCATCATTTTCGTCTGTTCCCAACACCGCCGATCTCAAACCAACACTGGTGATTTCAACGCAAGCACCAACAAGCCCAAGCCCCCTTTTGACCACGAATCGTCCTCCTGTGTTTGAGGCACGCAAGTCCTTGACATCCTTATTGGAAACTCAAATGACATTAGCGACCTCCAAGCCCAAATCCCGATCGACTTATTATGGCCTTACGCCATCTGAGTATGCTGCCTTTGGTGGAATTAGGACTGTGGCAGCACATCACAGCCCTGTGCCCTGCAGGGCTAATGAAACCTTGTTAAACAAATCACAGTCGGAAGCAGCTGTTGATGTATCACACATCTCTAAGTCTGATGCAACAAAACAAATCAATGGAAATCAAGATCTTCTCTCTTCAGTGGAGGTTTCTGCTGCTCACAGTTTCCAACCTCCAAAGGATTCAGAACGTCCAGCGGAACTGATGGTCACATATAGCAAAGATCTGTTTGAGGAAAGTCACTCAGAAGCTCAAAGTATTGGAATACAATCACTTAAAACATCTAATGTGGACACAGTAAAACCTGAGTTTCCTCTTGGCTTGTCACAGAAAACAATGCAGCAATCCACAAGTGACGTGTCCACACCACAAGCCTCATACTCTGAGGCTCCAATACCTAAAGCAGGTGAGGTACACGCACAAAGTGCAGCACTATTTTCTTTAGCTAAATCATTATATACAACCCCACGCCTGACTGACAGCAGTGGACAGTTTAGTTCTTCCTCAACCTTAGTGAAAATAGATTCAAATGCAGAAACACAGGTGATCGCAAAAGGGAAAGATGCTGATCATATAAACCAGGTTGTTCAATCTCTTGCTATAGAGAAAGAGCCCAGATTCTTAGGGAGTACAACCACAATTGGTGCGTCCGTCTTAGGAACCCAACAAACCACCAAACTGGTGTCAGTAACACCACTGCCCAGCAGAGTGGTTACTGAAACCATAATTCCTAAACAGAGAGAAGTAGTTAACCAGCAAATCAAAGCAAACAGGGAGGATATTGGATCTAACAAAACAAACATGGGGAACAATTTGCCTTCAAATGCTGCTAATAAAGAATGTGTACCTGACAAAAGAAGCACTGAGCACCAATTCTCAAATATATTCTCCAAAGAACCAGTTGCTGCTAAGACAGTACCCATGCTGCCACATGAGCCAGTTACAGCTTCTATATGTTCTGCACAGTCGAGTACCTGCACCGTATCTGCAGCTGAGCAAAGCACCAAATGTATACAGCAGCCCAGCACCAAAACTCAAAGTCAAACTGTAGAAAACAAGATGAACTTACCCAGAACAGGTCTCTCTGCGATACAACCTCAAGCACCAACTTTAGTAAACCCATATCCTGCAAATACTTCACCACTGAGTAAACCCAACACAGAAACCAAACACCCAGACCTGTCAATCATTGCAACCAAATCGCCTGGTAGATCAGACACTAAATCTCCAATCAAAAGTGAGGCAGAACACTCAAAAGTGCCACCAAGAGATCTCCAAAAGACAACCAAAATCAACGATAGCGTACTTGTTAACACACAGAGTAGCACGAGAACCATTGGCCAACATAAAGTTGTTCAAGGAAAATGTTTCTACGCAAACTCAAGCAAAACTACAGCAGAGATTAAACAAGCCAATGAAACAACTCTTAGAATGTCTGATAAAGATACAACACTTTTTAGCCAAGCTAGTATTGATGCCAAACCTCCAACTTATGCTAATAGTAGCACAGTCAGCAGCTCATCATTAGACAACCACAACTTGTTTTATCCACAACTCAACCCTGAAAGAGTCAGTTTACTAACAGCAAATGTGGAAGCGAAGAATCTTCCTTGTAAACCTATCACAGCAGAAGAACTTCAATCAAAACAACCTTCTAATCTTTCAACAGGAAATGTAGCGCTGACCACACCAAGCGGTGAAACCAAATTTTCAGACAAACACGGATTGCTAACAGTCAATACATTTTCCACAGACACAGTCTCACTTGGACAACCAGGACAGGTCAGTAAACCAACGGTGCAGTCGAGCCCAACTATGAGGCGAGTTGCACCACGTAGCCCTCGGCTGAGAACAGAGAGACCTGGTAGTCAGTCTGCAACCAAACTACCCATTGATGAAAACTCACTTTCTGGCTCTATTGTCCAAACAAGAGTCCACACAAACTCTGATTGTAAACAGATTCCCAACCTTCTAGCTGAGCAAAGATCATCAGAAGCATCCGCACCTCCAGTTACTAAAACTGCCGTAAAAGAAAAATCACCTATAATCAAGCTAATTACTGATCGTAAATCTTTATCAAGTCCCACTCCAAGAACTAAGTACTCTGTGACAACCAGTGCTGAGTCAACAACTTCCATTTCCACTGGTTGTATAACAGCAGACATATCTAAAGTCAGCGTCGAACAGCAAATCATTACAATGCCAGGTCATATCATGTTGTCCGAAGAGAATGTTCAAACTGTAGTGAGCTCGCAGTCTGGACTGAAACACTTCAGGCAATCTGTCACTGAAACCAAGAAATCTATCGGACACACTGTAAATACTCAAACTCTCTCAAAAACTGCTGTAAATACCTACGCTACAACAAATATTCAGACTCTCAGTGAAGCCAACAGAGATTTTAACACCCCAGTTAGCCCTCTTACAGTAACTAAACCTTGGACTGAAACAAGAGCCTCCCAGCGACCCGAGCCAAGAGTGTGTAGTACACCTATACGAACATATACTCCGACCATAGTTCAGGGCTCTCAAACTCCTGTGTCTTTAAACAGCACAACAGAAACGCTACCCTCATCAGTCATTATGACGGAACAGAAAACTGCTCCAATTACACTTCTTCAAAATAATACATGTCCAAGTGCTGTTCCTTCTTTGGCTAAGTCATTCACAGAGCGTATCTCAAAACCAGAAATAAAACCACCCAAGGACAATTCAGTCCCTGAGGTAAAAGCACATTCCCCAACACAACAGGTGAAATCAAACATAGCATCAAATTCTAGTAAGGAGGGAGAACTCCAATCTACAGCTCCTGTTTTAACCAGTAAACCCACTTTAAAACCAACACTTCCCACCAACATTTCCCCTGCAAAGCCAGCAACAGATACTGACATGAAACCGTCCATAGTTAAAGCTGCTGTGATTGACTCTGCCACTCCTGCCTCTCTGCCTCAGGCCTCAGTCTCAGTCAAAGCTCCATCACCAAACAGAGGAACATCACCGTCATCTCAGCAAAAAGCTGGACTCAAAGACAAGGACGTTCCGAAGACCAAAACAACTCCGGCACAGACGAAAGCCCCAGCCGCCGAGCCCTCCACGAAGTCAATGACATCAACTGCATCTTCAATTGCTGATAAGAAGGTTGTTACAGCAGAGACACCCCTTCCATCTGCTGAGCCAAAGGCAGCCAAGAAGCCGAAAGGCCTTAAGGGTAAGCTCAGCGGATGGACACGGCTCAAGAAACACATGGTTGTCGAGCCAGAGGAACCACAGTTTCCAGAGACGGAGGCCAATTCTCAGGTCAATGACAGTGGCAGCAACGAGAAAACAGATGTAGGCGGTAGCGATAAATCGTTGCCTGACCAGTGTGTCAGTCAGGATGTGGTCCAGAACAAAGAAGCTCCCAGGGCGTTGAAGATGTGGGACGCCCTCCTCTTTCAGATGTTCTCCACAAAAGAGCGAATAATGCAACAGGTCAACGACACCAAGAAAGATTCAGAAGAGAAAAAGGCCCTGAAAGACAATCCAGCAGAAGTCCCCTCTTTTGTCAGTCGCCTGCCAATTTTGCTCTACAGCCCCCGATTTGATGCAAGGAAGCTTAAAGAGGCAGCGGAGAAGCCGCTCACGAAAATAGCAGCTGTGTTTGAAAGGGGGCTGATAAAACGCAAGTCTCAGGAGGACGAACGCAAGGACTTCAACAGAAAAGCTCGAGGATTTGGTTCGTCGAAAAATGCGGATATGTAAAATGAACTGGAGCTTTGAGAGTGAAGAGTGATTTGTCTGTTCAGTGATTTATTGTGAAATTGGTGCAATGATCTCAGAAAACCGAGAGAGGCTCAAACGAAAAAGAATCACATAGCGAGAGTTTGGAAGAAAATAGACGAGAAACAATTTCTGCAATAGAAAAATAATGGAGTTTATTTGATAAATCAGTTATTGATTCCTGGTTAATCTACTGTTTCAAATTATTTGAGCAAGAGTTTTTCCATTGGTAATTATACGAAAATGAAATGTGTTGGTGAAATGAATTCTTGCACATTCTCAGTATGGGTTAAAACTTCTAGATGGGATTCAGGGCGTCTTTGCACTTTTAATGATATTAAAAAAAATTACAAAGAAAGCAAAGAACTCTGAAGCTCTTACTTGGCTGGATTTTCTTGTTTCGTTTGACGATGGCCTTGGTTGGATGTAGTGTTGAATGCATGATCTGTAGATACTTTGATAGATTAACGACCGTTTCATTTGTCATGCTCCACCTTTTTCTATTTTTTCTAAACAAAGTTGGGCTGATAGAGCTCACACCGCTGGTAGGCAGTTTTCATCTCTGTAATAAATAGGGCTTTTACATTCCTGGAACAACAGGGCAGATGGGTTTAGAGGATGAGGAACAGTGAAGGGTTAAAGTCTCGTCAGAACAGATTAAGGTTTCCGAAAGTCGGTTGTGGATGGAAATGTGGTGGGACCTGTCCGAGCTTTCAGTCAGGGCAGAAAATACTGAGGCTGGTGCATCTTGGGACGAAGCAGCGCGTTTCCAAAAACCAGAAAAGGCCGTGACAGCTGGAGAAAGATKCATGTGAAAGTAACATTTCATGGCTTTTGAGGCTTTAGCAGAGTATTAGCATGTTGCTATAGAAGTTATTGTGACTCAATGTGGGATTTTAAAATGTGTTGTTTTCCATGAGATGACCATCGTGATGTGGAATTTCTTTTATAAGAGGGGAACTTATAAGCTAACTACGGCCCCATTTATTGCTTCATCCATGTTTTTGTTTACTGTGTGATTTTAAAAATGCATAAAGCTGAACGTGAAATTCTTGAGTTTTCTTTCTTTCTTCTTTTTCTCCTTTTTTATTACCTCAATGCTGCAGCGGACACATTAACATCGAGTCGACCACGAGTCACACCTGGTTTAAAAGGTGACACAGATCTGTCTGGTGTTATTCTACTTTTTATTATCCTCAAAACTCTATGAAAACACCAAAATATAAAGTTTTCCTCCGTCACACAACTTTCAGCATCAGTTCTTTTTGCCATGTATGTGGACACATACTAGGAATTTGACTCCCGTGTTAATTACGCTCAGTGAACTTACACTCAGTAGACACACAGTGAAAACAGAGTACACGATGAACATAACTACTATGTGCAACAAGAGTAAAACTGTCTCAGACATCTTGAAATCAGCTTGAAACAAATCAAATATTTAAAAATCTCACACACTTTTCTAGACACATTGAAACTTCTCAACACATTTATAAATTCAAGGTGACTGACATCAGTATTCATCAATCTCTTTATTGATTCAGTGTCGGTAAGGAATTATTTCAATAGGCTGAGTTAACTCAGTTGAATATGTTTATTAATCATATTAATTATTATTATTAATGATAAACAACGTGTTAGATTTTCTGTTTTCCTACAGAATCAGAATTAAGGGATTTTCTCACCTGACAGACATTTCACATCTTCACTGCCGCCGTCGTCAGCAGAAACCTTCTGGTACTTCCCGTGACTGGTCACCACAAACTTGTACTTTTTACCAGATGAGCTTTCCTGAAATTTAGAAAACAAACTCGTCATCAGTAGATTAGTTCAGGGACACTTCCGGCCGTAACTTCCCTTTTCCCTTCTTCAATCTTATTTGACTTCAAAGTTAAAAAAGTGAAGTCAGTGAAGTTGTCGCAGTGTGAATGAGGCAAAGTGTGAAGTTGTGAGTTTCATGAGAAATTCTTAAACAAGCACCTGGCAGATGTGATAAATACAATAATAGATATATTTCTTATATACAAATATAATAAATCAATTCAAATTTAATTCAAACTCGGAAGAGAAGAGATTTTAAGAAACATAAGAACGTGTTTAAAACACACTGAAGAGAATGAGGAATCAAATTAAATCTGAATATGAGAGTGTGGGTAAGAGAAAGATCTAAATATATAATGAAGTAATAAAATGTGTTTCGACAGTCGATGTGAGTTCGTACCTTCCCGTCTCGTCCTGGAGATGATGTGTCACCAAAACTCTCCCACAGATTCTTCTTGTTTAAAACTCCTCCAGGTTTGATTTCCTGCGAATACAACAACGAGCAGAACTGTCACCTCTGCTCAATGAGCTGTGAGACGCTGCTGCCGCCACACGGGGGCGACGGATTTACAGAACATGAAGAAGAAGCTGGGGTGTGTGAGCATGAAGGGGACGGAGAATAATGTTATAAAAATTAGTTATCAGACACGTTGGAGTACAAATGAAAAGACTTTTGTGCATCCTGTACTTACTGCAGGTTTGGAGGGCGAGCTGCACCTGCTCCCATCTTCACCTCCTCTCACCCACTGATTGATGAGATCAGACACACCCACTTTTAAACCATCCGCATCCTGCGGAAGAAAATAAAGTTACTGAGGGTGACAGGTTCCGTACGAATAAAGATTATTACGCACTGTATTCATTGATTATCTCGTGACCTTGGAGGCTGTGACTGAGATGTTCTGGTTCCAGGCGTCTCCGGCCTCGAACAGGTTCTTCTTGGCAGCGACGGGTTCGGTCGGACTCGTCAGGTCTGCGAGAAGCTGAGCTCCTAATCTTCCCTCCTTTGAGGAGAGCTGCGGAAAATAAAACAGTGAAACACAGTGAACTTAAAATCTAACATGATAACGACAGCAAGTCTTCACACCGACGACTGAGCCTGAGTCCAGACACACAACAGGTTTCTGTCGACTCCGATCAGCAGTGATGGAACCTGACATCAAGAGGAAGTATTAATTTCCTCTTCTTTAGTTTGACTAGATTTTTGTTTAGATGGTTTTTATTAATGAGTCAATAACATATTTATTAGCAGGTCGACTTACATGTACTGTAAATATGTACAAAACTAATTCTGGTGTAAAAGAAACCTTGAGGACAAACAAGCTTGTGAAGGTTTCTCATATGAAGTAAGTAAAAGTATAGTTGGTAGTTTAGAGGAAGGGTCACACAACAAAATACATGATTTAATGATTTAGTCAATAAAAAGAAAATTCAAGATGAAGGCGTTTTACCTCCAGAGCTTGCGTGTACAGCTCCAGCTTCTTGTCAATCTTGGAAACAGCGACAGGGGGCGACGTCTTCTTTATGCTGTTGGTGCTTTAGAAGAAACATTAACGAGCTTCGTCATATTTCATATCTGCACATGAGCTGAGGGACAGTCTGAAAATGTTTTATTGCACTGACGAGCTGTTAAATCTCACGAACCCACCTCCTCCTCAGAGACTCAGTTCTCTCGATGATCTGAGGACAGAATTAAAACAATCGATGGTTAAAACCCACAAAGACGCAAAGTTTTTTATTTGAGCTGTTTTTATTTGTTTGTGTTTTTAGTGACGTGAGCAAAAGAAAAATGACAAGAAGAAGAAGAAGAAGTCACTTTATCGTCTTTTTGCTTTTCTTTTGTTTGAATCCTCTTTCTCTCTGTAGTCGTGTTGAGTTTGTGTGATTGTTTTAAAGCCTTTTGAGGTTGTTTGAGATGTTTCATGTTATTTTAGTCTCTTTCTTTTCGTGGTTGTTTCGTGTTTATTTGTAGTTTGATAAGTTTTCGAATCTTATCGATCTCTTTGTGTTTGTCTTCTGGAGTCTCTGTAGTTGATCTGCGTCTCTTTTCATTTGATTTGAACGGACGTGTAGTCGTCTTTGTCTTGTTTTTGTCCATGTGTGCGTTTGATATGGTTTTGTCTTTTTTTTTTTTTGTTCTTCTTGTGTCTCTTTCAAACACGGACCCAGTGGAACTTCTGTGATCTTTGATCAGCTGCTGACCTTTGACCCTGACCGTCGTCTGTAGAAGTACTCACTGTGCATTTCCCGTCTGTTGAGACTCTGCTGTTGATTTCATCCTGCAAAGAGACAACGAGCTGAGTGATCCTGCAGATAAATGACTATAATTACATCTGTGGCACGAGAGACAGAGATGACGTGTGTGTGTGTGTGTGTGTGTGTGTGTGTGTGTGTGTGTGTGTGTGTGTGTGTGTGTGTGTGTGTGTGGAACTCACTGGGTAAAACTGTATGAGGAGTTTCTGGTGCAGCAGCAGGGAGAATGAAAAAGACAACATGTATGATGAGTGTAGCACCACAGGCTCCTGTAGTTTTACTCCTTCAGATTCTTTAGTTTACACTGAGCTGGTTTGTTATGAATATAACATATTACATTACTTCACTATTTACCGAACATTACTCGTTTCAAGTTGTAGAAATTGAAATAGAATAAATGTACTGCACGGATCATGTTCAGTAAATACCTTGAATGTCGGGCTCATGGGGCCGTAGTTTAACGGCTCCTCGCCTTCGCTGCAGAGAGAACTCGCTGATCTTCTGTTCACCTCCTCGCTCCTCATGTTTTCCACTGATCTCTGTGACGACAACAATGTCAGATGAGATACGATAAATTAGGCCTTTATTAATCCTGGGTCCCCGTTAATCCCCAGAGTGTAAAATAAACAACAGTAAAGAGTATTTTATAGTTTAAATACAAAAAGTGCGTTTAGAGTAAATGCAGAACCTGAGACTAAAAGAAACAGTAATAGAAATAAAAAAAATAAACTACGTAAAGTACTAGTTTGTAGTAAAGATAGAAGTAATTTGGAATATTGCACTTGCTATTGAACATAATAATCCACGTGAAAAGATATTTGTTCTATTTCTCAGTTTCATCATGACATCATCGTATTTGCTTTCATCAATAAAAATGTAAAAACACAAGTTTTCCGACCCGGTACATAAACTCAACACCTTCCCCCTGATGCCTGACTTTTAAACCTCGTTCACGTGCATCACACACACACACACACACACACACACACACACACACACTGTTACGTGGAGGAAACAACTACAACTGGAAAAGTGGGTTTTGTTACAACATCTGAAATTAAGAGCCAAAGCAACATTCCTTCTCTTTACTGCTCAAAGATCCGAAACCAAATCCCTCAATACTCAAACTGTCGATTTCATCATCACACGTGTTGAGTGAAATATGTCATGTGACACTCGGAGAACACGTTGTGAGTAGAAATCGTAAACACCCCACAGAGTGACAGAAAGGTTTGTTTTTAGTCTCTGGTGTGTAAATAAATAAATAGTAAATGATAAATGGATTCATATTTTTTATTAGTTTATGTTTTTTTACTTTGAGCTTTTCCAGTTTTATAAATTACAGCAGGAGTCAGGGGCAACTTTGGGGTTAGGTCTGCTGCCAAAGGGCACTTAGGAATGCAGGTGTCGGGGATCGAACCACCAACCCTCTGGTAAGTGAATGACCCTCCTCTGCTTCCTGAGCCACAGCTGCTCATGAGCGTGTGAATTATGAATAAAATGTCTTTGTTTTTGAGTCTTATCTACCAATCGAAGCTCCTACTACTACTACTCACATCCTCCCACTGACTGAGCAGCCGTCAGGAGCAATTTGGGGTTTAGAGGATGAGGTGGGGATCGAACCAGCAACCCTCTGAGCCACCGCTGCCGCCTACATGCTCTACTGAGTATCAGAGCTGTAGCAGCTTTATTAGAAATCCAACCTTGTTTGGTGTCTTGTGCTCTTCCTCCTCCTCCTCCTCCTCCTCCTCCTCTCTGTTTCTCTGCTCCCTCCTGAGGTGAAGGACGTCCGTCTCTTCACGTGTGAAGCTCAGCTCTTCTTCCTCCTGATCTTCTTCTTCTCCGTAGCTCTGTCTGGTGTCCGCTGACCTCTGCTCCTTCTGCAGAGCGAGCTGCGCATCTTCCTCCTCCTCCTCCTCCTCCTCGTCCCTCAGCTCCTCCTGTTCCACCTCCCCATCCACCCTGCAGGCCGCTCCGCTGCGGAGGAGAAGTGGAGGGGTGGTCAGATCAGAGGATGCAAACACACAGAAGACACTGGACAGAGGACGAGAGTTGAGATTAGAAAAACATGTCAGACAGTAAGTGGAGAACTCACCGTGGCCTCATGGTCCCTGCAGCCAGGTAGGAGGCCCTGTCTGCCGGATGTCCGGCGCCGTGCTGCAGTCTGGCGTCCTGCGGCAGAAACACCGACGAGCTGTACGACGTCCTGACTTCCTTTTTGCTGCATGACGTCTAAAATAAACCAAAAGCAACGCAGGGTAACATGGTTGATGAAGATCCGGACAATCATCTGCAGAACGTCGAGTAAATCGCTGGATGTTCTGCAGATTAACTTTCTTTTAAAAGTCTGTTTTCAGCTTCACAGTTTGGAGCTCTGTGTTGTTTTCCCCTCAGATGTTTCACAGAGTTTCTCATTAAGAGCTCGATTAGCTCGCTTGTAAACCTCTTGCTCTTAAATTTGTTCTTTCTGAGTGTAAATTAAGGAGCTCACTTTTTCCCACAAACTGTTTTTTTAACTGGGCAGAACTTCTCTTCTTCTTGCACCTCGAGGGATAATCCTGACCTTCTGGAGCAGATTTCATGTGTAGTTGTTAATAACTTGGATATTTTTGCTCCAGCTCACAGCCTCTCGTACCTTCTCTTCAGGCCTTGTTGAAGCTTTCTGAGGCCGACTGCGTCTTTCCAGCTCTCGTCCCTCGTCTTCATCCTGTTTCTCCTCTTCAGGTCCTGGTTTCCACCGTGGTGCGGTGCTGGCTGTCCGCTCCCTGACTCGACAGTTGTCCCGCGCCTCCTGCTCGTTACGATTCTCCAACCGGTGACTCCAGTCGCTGAAGCCCTCGTCCTCCTCCAGAACCAGGCAGCACCGCGGCTTCAGCTCCTCGTCCAACCTGAGGAACGAGTGGAGAACAGCGGAGAACTTAAAGCACTGGTGAGATGATCCAGGATGAACTCTTCACATGAAAAACCAAACATGCAGCAGTGTGACACACAACAGAGGATCCTCACAGATACAAGTGAACAAGGGAATCATGGAATACATGTCAGTATTTGTATTTCTTATTTTACTACTTTGTCCTTATTTCCAGGTTTTGTTATTCTGCATACAAGAGGTTATATGAGGACCTCTGAGCAGCGCTGGAGGTTCTCAGAGTGAGAGACGAACCTGTGGTACGTGACAGTTCAGAGGTACTTTTGGTCAGACAGTAATAAATACCTATTGAACGGCTCATATACTTAATGTCTGAGGTATTATTATACCATGTTTGCTCCATTTGTAAAGTAAAACAATCTTTAATTCGTCCAAAGGTCGGGAACAGGGCGGAGAGCTGAGAGAGGCCACAGGTGGCAGACGGAGCCGTCAGGCTCCGTGGCAACAGAGACGGTCACCGTGGTAACATCAAACAGAGGAGCACAGTGAAGAACACTTCCTGTTTGAAGTCACTAACAACACAGATAAATGCTGATGTCACTTATCTTATACCATCTTATCTTAAATGATCTGCAAACAACTTTTGAAATTTGAGACAAAGAAGACGAAGACTCTGGATTTCTTCGATAACTCTTGTAAATAAAACACTTGAATCACCAAAAGTTTTTTTTTTTCTGTTTCCTATAATTTATAGCAAAAAAATCTAAATGTATTGATTAAATCATTTTATATCATCAAGCTGTAACTGACCGAAGCTGAAACAAAAATAAAAGTTGTATTAAGGAACCAAAGTTAACTAACCAGTGGTTAGATTGATAATCATATTCTCAGCGGAACAATGAAGCTCATGACAGAGGCAGAGTTTGATGAGTGAAGCACATTAAAAACACATTCAGCAGTTTTCAGTCTCAGGTGACGAGGACATTTCCCCAAAGAGTTCCTGCTCTGACGTCAGGACTAACAACAGACAACAGGAAGTGATTTTCTCAGCTCGTTCACCTGCAGCTTCACTGGACGAGACGTTTCCCCTGAACTCAGCTGCTGAGGATGAATAAACTTTAAGGAGGAGGACGTTACATCCGATCTGATCCAACACAAACAGATGCATCGTTTCACCAACAAACCTCTGCAGAAATCCCTCTGAGCTGGAGGCCGAGCACCGACCCACCGGGGGAGGGTTATTTTACATCCTGCGTGATTTATGAATCTTTTCTCACTCATGAGTGACAACGTATCAACAGACTTGTATAAATGCATGAACAGAAACTCGTGCAGAAGCTCCTCCCTCCACCGAGGCCCAACGGTCTGTCATGATCATTTGTTCTACGGTTCTTAAAATATTGAAGATGCTTCAAACCGTCGATTCTCAGCTGAATTCACAAATGAATTCTGAATTCAGAAAAGCAAACACCCCAGTGATCACATCCAAATCAGCTGAATCCAGATAAGTTAAAGGAAAGTGAGTAGTAACTTTATATTCATCTGCATCGTACTCACTGCGTCCTGTGTGTGTCGTCATGGTGATGGGTGGGCTCGGGCCAGGACGGGCCTCCCTCTCCTCTCTCAATCTCCCTGGCTCTCCTCCTCCGCTCCCGCTCCACCTCCTCAGCATCCTCCTGGCTCCGCTGGGCCGTCACCCTGCAGACACATCAGAGTGTAGAAGTCAGGAAACATCTCAAAGAGCAGAAATCGTTCTCTGAGTGTGAGGAGTGAGGATGCTGCTGCTTCTTCTCTGTTCGTCTCTTTAATCAAATAATGAAACTCAAACCTGATCGATGTTTGTAATTTGTCTGATTCAACAAGATGATTTTTCTGTGGATTTGACATTTGAAAAAAAACTTCTCCTTCTTTAATTTACTCCTTCTGAGTTTTAGTCTCCAGTGGGCGGGACTTCATAACAATAACTCCTTTTATTGTCCACGCACATCTGGAAGAGCTCGATCCAGCTGCTGTGCTGTTTCACTTAATCCAAACCTCTGGAGGGAAACAAAGAGCGAGGGAGGAGGAGGTGAAGGTGATGGGACGGAGGAGGGGGGGGGGGGGGGCACAGATGATGGAAGAAGACTTTAATCCTGCCGACCTTCATCGTACCGAACACACGTCTGCAGAAAATGACGTCAGGAAA